TATGGAAGGATTTTGTATCCAGTCATACTTTAGATAATATTGCTGATTCTTTTTTGGATCTTATCAAGGAGCTCAAGGTAAATATCAGGGGCACTGGACCCTATGTGGCAGCAATATTCTAAGCATGGGCAAATGATAGACTTATAGATATGTAAGATAGATTCTGGAGAGAAAAATTGTCTCACCCGACATACTGAACTAACTTTCTTAGCAGCTGACCGAGCAATGGATTCAATATAGTCTTTCCACTTCATATCAGCAGAAAACGTGAGCCCGAGAAGGCGCAATGAATCACTTTCAAGGCGGTTAGCATCAGCCATGCTTATGGAAGTCAGCGAGGTGTCTCTCAGATGATTATACTCCCCTGCAAATTAGATCTCTTTCTGATTCACAGTAAATCTCGACTGAATGTGAGCGCTAAGAAAGCAAAACCAAAAATAAAAGAAAAATGTTGGCCTCTGTGCAGGGGCACCGAGCATCATATCCAGCCAACAAGACAAATCCCCACAAAAATCTAAACTACAACATAAGGTAAATTTGCTGTTTAAGCCCTGCACACCAACTGTAATTAAAATTTCCTGAAAATTTCCATTACGGTGTAAATCTACATGTTTATTTAAAAAGTAACAGTAAAAGTTTGTGGAAATTTACTGTTTTGGAGTTATCAACAATAAAAGTTTGGCCTCATTCACATCTGGTCCGTCGTCCACTATTACTGGCAGTATTGTTTACATAGATTTGCCTTGAGTAGTCATGCATGGAAGCTTACTTAGTTAACGGTCTTTTTACTGATCTTCCTATCTTCTTACTTGTCTCAATTATTGCTCAAAACCAAAAGAAGTTTTTAGACACTTGTGAAAGTGAAGTTTTTATTGAATTTTTTTTTTAAATTTAAGTTATTTAGAAAAGCAATGACAAGTGTTTTTTTATAGTGAAGCTGTAATAATAATGAATTCTTGTTTAAATACGAAAAAAGTTTTAATTTACAAGTTTAAAACTTAAAAAATATTTTAATCCTTAAAATTGTTCTTATTATTAATTCCTTTTTAGCATTTTTTTTTATTTTATAAATAATCATGCTCTTTCCAAATTTCACGCAAAGTTTGTGCATCACGTGCACAATAATAAAGACAAGTGAAGTTTCTGCAAATGACTACTCAAGGCAAACGTATGTAAACCATCCCAGTAATGGCTGCCGTACTGCATCTATGACACGAATGAGTCCAAACTTTTATTGTCAATAACTTCTAAACAGTAGATTTTCGCAAATTTTTACTGTTATTTTCAAAATAAGTATATAAATTTACACCAAAATAGAAATTTTCAGGAAATTTTAATTACAATTGGGGTGTGAGGCTTTATCTGCAAATTTACCCAACATAAAAGATGCCAATCATGAATGTTTCTGCCAAAGAAAAAAAGATGAGCTCAGGATCCACCAGATTTGCTCCTAAGGAAGCTGCTCCTAAACAATAGTCATGCTCTCAACATCACCACCTTGGCTTTGGTCACCAACTAACACACATATCTGCTCAATACCTATGATCCTCCAAACACACACACCATGCCCACAGAGACATTCTGCTTGAATCCTCTGTAACAACAAAGTCAGATTCATATCTTCTCTAATCCACTCCAGGTTTCTCTCCATGTCACTATGACCTCATTCAACCAACCTGACATACATATCCACTTGAGACCTACTCTCCTCCAAATCGCCGTACCTCGCCCACATAGAGACATTCCACTCACATCTACTGTATCAGCAATACAAAAGAATTTTATATTTACAATTCTTATCTTCTTTTCACTTCACTGACAGTACTGTCATTTCATTTGTTCTTAAGGATGTTTATAACAATGTAAGAAATTCTGAACAGAAAATAGAGGCAAAAAAGGGGGAGACGTATTAAACACAGATACAGATTTTCAGAAATTTTTACTCAGTTTAAAAAGCTTCTTAATTGAAACAGAAAGATTGAAAATATACTCAGCCCAATAGATAATAAAACACAAAGTAGGCAGCTGTTGATACCAATTGTTTACAAATGCTATCTGATATATCGGCCATATTTGTTCTTTGGGAATCAGAGTAAATGCTTAAAATTAGAACAGTTTCACTCACAAAATAAAGATTATTCATATTTTTGATTTTCTTGTTGTTTATATAAAGTTTTCTCTCTTCTTTCTTAATGAAAGACAATATATTTTACTTTCATAGTTTATTAATATATAGAAATATAATAAAGTCATATCAAACAGAAAGGTATAAGAGATTAACACCTTAAAAAGGTATTACCGAGTATGTCTAGTGAGTACCTGTCCCTGAAAATTTAATAAGTTTTGAAATGGAAATAAGAAGAAATACATAATAGCTATACATCCAGTTCATTTCTATTCTTTAATATTGTAAAAAATTAACTATTTTAGCAAAATACAGGGTGTCCATAAAGTTCGTGTGCATTTTTTAAAAATTTATAACTTTAAAGTGCACACGAACTTTTTGGACACCCTGTATATGTACGACATTAAGATTATAATGGATAACATGATACAACTTTTCAAACAAAATTTACATAGAGATGAATGTTTATGAGGTTGTATTATTTATACTCAGGGATGTAATTTATCCCCAGTTTTTATCTTCAGAAACATGGGGGGTCATATTATACACAAGGAATTATTGGTACATATGAGATAAATTTCCCTCATTGTGTGTTGGTGAGTTGAATGTACTTTTATATGTGAGGCAGGCATTAGAAAGCTGAAAACTCAAATGGAAGCAAAAGCTGAATAAGGTAGAAGGAAAGAAGAAAAAAGAAAAAAAAAAGAAATATTATTGTGCAAAGTAGCTTCAAGGTCAATTGGGAAGGCTCCAAGACACAGACATTTCAGTGATGACATGTCGAAACACAGACAACTCCAGGTCGAGATTCTCCGCATTCCACTGATGTGTTTGGTTTCCACAACCATACAGGGCAACAGAGAGTCACTTACAGAATCAAGCACGTTACCATCATAGGTCGGGCCTCTGAGATTACTTTCACTTTCTTTTCACTCTGAGAAATTCTCCAACCGTTTACAAATATAAGAGATATTCAAATAATTTATAAACAGCATTGTCTGGGAAAATTTTACACATACCACATCTTTTTCATGTAAGCGGTCAAAATTGATTTTTAGTAAACATAGTTCACTTTGTAACAGACTAATTTTAAAAAAGTAAGATAATAATATAGAACCCTATTCTATATCAGTAATACTTGAATTCCTGGACACAGACAAGTGCTTTCTTCCTGATTTTCAATGCATTCCTATAGTAAAATCATTAGCAATGCATTTCCATTATACATATAAGAGCCATATTCTATCAGTAATGCTTGCATTCATTCCTGACCACTGACAATCCCTTTCTTCCTGATTTTCAATGCATTCCTATAGTAAAATCATTAGCAATGCATTTCCATTATACATATAATAGCCCCATTCTATCAGTAATGCTTGCATTCATTCCTGACCACTGACAATCCCTTTCTTCCTGATTTTCATTGCTTTCCTATAGTAAAACCATTCGCAATGCATTTCCATTATACATATAATAGCCATATTCTATCAGTAATGCTTGCATTCATTCCTGACCACTGACAATCCCTTTCTGCTACATTTATAAATCTATTCATCCAGCATTATATACTGCTGTCATATCTGGTCTGGTGCTTCTACTTTATATCTTGAGATTCTCAAGAAAGTCAAAAGAAAACTCTGCAATATTATCAGTACTGATCTGGTATCTTGACTACAGTTACTTTCCTACCATTGTGATATAGAATCTCTCTATCTTTTCTTGAAATATTTTCATGGCAGTTGTTCTAATAATTTCTCCTCTTTGATACCTCAACTGCACGAATGTAAGCATACTACTGGATTGGCAACTAGGTCCCATCGTTTTACTGTTGAAATAGCAAAAGACATAACCATACGTTCCTTCTGATAGTTTCTTTTCATGCACTTTTCGCCTGCAGAACCTTCTTCCAGTTTTTTTAAATTTAGATGCAACATCAATCACTATCTTATTTTCAAAAATCCTGATCTTTTAGTGTCATTTCTCTCCAACAAAGCACGTGAAATTAAAATGAAAGAATTCTTTTATTTCACCCAGTTCAAGGTGCAAGAGCCACTCAAGATAGAGGATTACTGACTGAGATTGTAAGGGACGAGAAATGGAAGTAAAAGTATGTTATGAGGACGAGTTGGATACATATCAGTTGATCTTGGACTTAAAGAAACCAAGATTATAGTTGTCAGGGAATATTCCCATGGGAGTTTGTTCCACAAAATAACAGTTCTGAGAAAGAAGTTGACTGAGTGGAATACAAAAGGAATGGTTATGGTTTGCCACAGCATGGTGGATCCTAACTGTGAAGGTCCAATGGAAAGAATCACTCTGAATTAAAAAATTATTACCAAGATTGTAGTTGTCAGAAAAACATTCTCTCGGAAGTTTGTTTCCCAAAACAAAAGTTCTGCAGAAGGGATGGTTTGCCACCATAAACATTTCAAGGTGGGACCTAGCTGTGAGTTTCTGAGCTGGTAGTACTAAGGAATGTAACTTATTCAAACATCGACTATCATAACGATAGAAGAGCAAAATGATTTATCTATCTATCTTCTGTTTCACTTCCAAGCACCCCCTCACATTTAGTAGCATTATCATCTTGCTTGGGATAGAACAATAGAAAAGCAAAATGATTTATCTATCTGTCTTCTGTTTCAATTCCAAGTACCCCCTCACATTTAGTAGCATTATCACTTTGTTTGGGATAGAATGACTGAGAACCAAAAGAGGATTAGAAAGCTTTATGTTTGGGATCAAGATTTGCAATAATGCACTATTTTTTACAAGTGTGCAATATTTTCTCACAATTCTTATGACTCTGTCTTTCAAAATACAAAACATTATTGGGTTCTCGATATTTGAAGGAACTTAATGTTTAACTAACCTCGTCCTAATCCAGATGTCTCTATCATGTATGGGCATCTCCCTTTGTTCTGGTCAGGCTGTAAAGAGATCACACCATTATGGTCAATTTCGATACGACAAAGGATGACTTCATCTTCAGCTTTTGAAGGACTGCAAAGAAAAGAGAACTTGAAGATAGATTATCATGAAAGACATTTGCATTTGCTAAGAAGTATTTTCTTAAATAATAAAAGAAAGATCTGATTGAGATTTCAGAGAGACATAGAAGAAAGACAGGAATATAAATATACAGTTCAACCTCTTTAATCCAGCACCCTTAAGACCAGGCTACTGCCGCACCACAGAAAATGACAGATATTAGAAATCCCCTTCCCCAACCAAAAAAAAAAAACTATGTAAACATAATCTTATCAGCTCATTCCACATGTATATTTCTGTGTTATCAAAGGTAGAACAAAACTTAAAACAGGAAATAAAACAATTATTAATCCTTCCAAACAAGGTTTTTGCTTCATGCAATACAAGAGTGAAAAAAAAAATCCCAAAACCCAAAATAATATATACTTCCTATCCTGAATGGATAAATATGCAGCTATATATATATATATATATATATATATATATATATATATATATATATACAAGAAATGAGCAAGATCGTCTTAGCAAAACACTCTGCTGCTGTCAACAGCTGTAAAAAGTTGTAAACAACGTGCAGCATTGTCCTTGTAACCACTCAGTGAACTAAAAGGGGCTAATGGAATTTGCCAGAATATGGAGTGCTAGATTAAAGAGGTTAAACTCTGTGTGTATATATATATATATATATATATATATATATATATATATATATAGTGAGGTAAAAAATCTGTTGGTATATAATCCAAGTGGATCCTAGAAATATGAAAATAGTAGAACTGATTCACAAAAAAGAGCTTGATGTATTTTATTTATACAGAACAGTATAATTAATAATCAAACAAATCCTTTTACCTCATATGGGGAATAGGTTATTTTGGCAGACATCTGTCTGTCTTTTCAACCCTAGTGTGGAATGAAGTTCAACTATATATATATATATATTATTGTACTAAGTACTTAGTCAGTTTTAATTCAACACCTGAAGATTGCATTGTGCATGAAGCTCAGTTGTGCTTTCTGGTGAGAAAAAAAATGTGTGTGTGTGTGTGTGTGTGTGGTAATCTATAATTAGCTACAAATATTCACTACTATTTCTCTAGTAGTTTCGTCTTTAATGTCAGGACCAGTTTAGCCACCAGCTGTATTGACTGCTATTTATATGGTGCAAATTTACATATGAATACAATATTCTCCCTCACTTTTTTTTTTTTTTTGACAATGTAAATTTAGAATATTTATTTCAGAAAAACAAAAGGAATGTAGTTTCAAAAACAATCAAATTAATTAAATTTTTCTTTTTCTTTTAGCATTCAATACCATGTTGTTTAGGTTCTTTAGTGAGAGACTTAGAAGATTTTTTGGGTGGGGAGGGACATTTTTGCAGTGTTTGGGCAAGTAAAGTTACAGGTTCTTGGTTCAGCCCCTTCAGTTGAATCACCAAACACTGATTGTGGTACAGTATCTTCTGATTTTGGTATGTTATTTTTATCTGAATCCACTAAATGGCTATTTGAGACTATTGTAACTACTTCAGGTTGTCATTCCCTCCCCAGAACCAAATCCAGATAAGACGTTTAGCACATGAGTAAGGAGTTTCAGCTATGACAGTCCAAGGAGCAATGAAAAAAGACTTGAAAATGAAATCGTACATGAAATCTGTGAGGCATGTTGTTACTTCAGGACAATAAGTTAGAAAGTTAGAGAGGGTGAAGATCATCTTGAATAATATATATATATTTGAACTTTATTGCAATCCTTCATGAGCTTCAAATCCTTAGCAATGATTAATTAATGATGAACTTGTCATTTTCGTTTATGATCACGATACTTCTGCTAATACATTCTGATTGCTCAAACTTGAGTCCAACAGTTTTATAAAAAGCTCAGAGAATTCCAGTAAGATATCTTTAATCATTTCTAAGATACAACAGTTCAGAGCTTAATCTAACAATTGGACAATTTTGCTGTTACACCAGATATATATATATATATATATATACATATATATAAAATCATACATCTGGCAATACAATTTTCTTTACTAAAAATATTTTCAAAAATAAAGTATACTTTTCTGAAATTTTATTTGAGGTAGATTAACTGATTTAAAAAAATAAAACAAATTCAAGAGGTTCAATTATGTTGAGAAATAACAATTATCTTTATCTATCTGTTGAATACAGGAGTATGTTTCTCTCCCAGCCTGTTTCTATGGATTCGTGACACTTTTTGCATTTCTTAAGCAAGTTATTGTATCTTAAGTCATTCGTCAATAAAACTTGCTTTTGGTAGGAAAACTAAGTCAAGAGGATGTGGAAATCTTTCGGTCAGCTTCTGCGAGGATGGTCTCCAACTTCTCAAACCAACTTTTGTTACAAAATCCTTTTTATTTTATTTTTCCTTCAGCCAAAACATTTACAAATCCCAGATTGTCAATTAATTCTTATCACATCTTAATTTTGGGGACACCCAAATCCACTTAGCCCAGACCTCCACCGACTCATTAATCATTGTCAAAACCCATCACCTGGCTTCTCTGCTAGTCAACTTCCAACTGGGTGGTCGTGTCCAGCCGAGAACCAAATTCTTTATTTTTCTCATGCCTTAAAATTCTCTTATCACTAGATACTCATTTTCGAGACGCTATGTCTTACGTCAACAGTTTGAATAAACAATAATAATGATTCCCTTTTTGATTTTCCTTCTCATGCCAAGATTCGTGCATATACCAGATGGCTTCCTTCGCTGGAACCAGGAATTAAAGTTAAATGATATCTCTGAAAGATAATTAATATCTATTCTCCAGGGTGGCCTCAAGCCGAAATTTTTTTATGGCCACATGCATTGGCTGGCTTTGTTTTTCTTTCAGAATTCTGTTTCGTTTGGCACGTCACTACCTTATCATGACATTAATTGATTTTGACAGAATCACAGTCTTGCATTCTCTTACAGATTTTCTGTCTTTTGCGAAAAGTATCTTTTTTTTTGTAAATAAAATAAATTCTTCTTTTTAATGTCGCTCAGTCTATCTTTCAATATAGCTCTTTCTCACCTTAAGTATTTTCCATTTTTAATTTCTATGGTTAATTAGTTAGCCAATTACCATAGCTAAATAGTGTCACACATATTTACAAAGATGCTTGTTGAAAGAATGTTAGAGAATTTTCAATAAATTTTAATTTTACTATAGTTACACTGTTGTATATGGACATCCATATTTACAAAAATAGGCACAAAAAATTCAAAATTCTTTTCAAAATACTGGTGTCATTGAATTGCAGTAAGCTTTTTTATTTATGATGAGTAAATATATGTTTTATTAAATAACAATACCATTTAACCACTTCAAATTAATACAAAATTTTTACAAATTTTAAACTTTATATATTATACTAATCAAAATTTTTTAAAAATTTAAACAATTCTTGTAAAAATTCACTATTCACCAAAAAAAAATTTCTTAAACAATAGCATCCATAATATATTTTATTCATAAAAGCAATTAAAAGCTTTTCTAATTAAAGAATGTCTTAGTTGTTTTTATTTTACCATTCAGAGCATATTTTCTGTAACTGGGAGTCTTGTTTGACCCAAGAAGTTTGATGATTTAAGTTCTCCTAGGACTTGTCCTTATAACTAATATCGACATTAAACACTACAAAAAAGAATTACTTGAAATTTCATATAATTAAATAAGTGTGGGATAACAAATGTAAAAAAAAAAATATTTTTATCAAGATTTTCTAAAAAATAAACATTCTAAAATAATTTAATTAATTTGTGAATAAATCCTGAAAGTTTCATTAAAATACAATAATTGTTTATTGCAAGAATTGCTAAATCAATATTTTTCACTGCAAAGAGGCACTCAAATTTTCCATACAAACTTATGGTTTCATATTGATGTCACAAAAACAAGATTTTTAACAAAAATTTCAATGAGACTAAAATCAGTTAAAAAATGTAAATTTTGCATCAAAAAAGCCTTTAGTCTTTCCTTTTAATAACAACCCAAATTTTGACAATATTATTAAGTTTGAGGTATTTTTTCATCATGTTCTCTCATTCATATTTTAGTAAATATTTGGAGATATATATATATATATATATATATATATATATATATATATATATATATATATATATATATATATCAGGTTAGAATAATTTACAATCACCTGATGAGATGCATTGATATGCATTGAAAGATGACTGCAATTGTGTAGCAATTTTACATGTTTCAGATGTAATATCCTAAAATAAATAAATAAAAATATATATATATATATATTTATATATATATATATTTATATATATATATATATATATTTTATATAAATTTATATATATATATATATATATTTTATATAAATTTATATATATATATATATATATATATATAATTTATATATATATATATATATATATATTATATATATATATATATATATTTATATAAATTTATATATATATATATATATTTATATAAATTTATATATATATATATATATATATATATATATAGATATATATATATATATATATATATATATTTATATATATATATATATATATATATATATATATATGCCATATATTTTAGTATACACTTATGTATTTCAAAACCAATTATATTGCTTTTACAAGCTTACTTGATAAACCGCTGACCGTGTATATATCTATGTAACCATAGACTCACATAAAATTAAAACACATTTTCAAGCAGATACATGTTGCAAGTCACAGGATGTAACTAGAGGCTTCATTTGAAGGCCTGTCAGAGGATCAGTTTTATTCCCGTGCACCTGGGTCAGGTATTTGGTGCCTGCAGATTAAAAAGACCAAGATGTGCACTCGAAAGCAACGAGTCCTGTAAGGAGATGGCACACAAGTGCACAATGCTACT